CCTAACTAGAGAGGTAGTTGAAAGATCATCGTGGGGAATGAGACTATGGCCAATGACTAGTCATTGCGGCGGTAACTCTACCTAAAAGACTGGAGATCCCAAGATCTAGATTCAAGGAGCTCAAGCAAAGTCATTAATGACGGTTCAACATTGGAAAATAAAATTTTTTTTTGGTCCATTCTCGTGATGAGACAATATTTAGTACCAAGGATAAAGCATTAAGGGTTTTTAATGGTTTCTAATTTTTATACGGGGTATATCAAATAGTGTATCTACGGGATAACACGTTTAGGAATCACCTATATAAGTGTGAAGTGTTAGACGCTTCAAGGAGAGTTCTGTAAGGCCAATTCTCTATGCACTTATGAAACTAGGCGGTGTTCATGGCTGAAACGAACACAACAATGAGAACCAAAGACGGTTAAGGGTTGATTGTATGACTTATTATTGTCTAGGTATACACCAAAATTCAACGGTTCAAAGATATCAAATCTACCGATTGACCGAGTATATCCGACATAAGTTCATTGCGGAAAGTTCAAAGGGAAACCTACTTATCCAGATGTGATTAATTCTTACTTGCGAATCACACAGTATTTTCATGCATGTTTTTTCACATATGTCCATTCCCCATTCATGTGGGGGATTGATGCGTTTTTTCTTTAAAAGGTGTGAATGGGAATGGAAGAGGCACCTTTTGGATTGCACCTCTCCATATCAACCTTCCTTTGTCTATAAATTTAGAGGCTTGGCCTCATTTTTAAGATATGGAAAATCTGAAATCTTCTCCCCTCTTTTCTACATTGTTATATTATTTTCTAAATAAACATAAGTGTCAAGTGTGGTTTGCTCAGTTTGTTGAGTTCGCTGAAGTTCTGTGATTTGAAGTGTCGCTATCACAGAATAGTTATTCCGTTCTATCCTGGGAGGAATTAATCTGTATACCTTGGGCAATAGTGAGGGGATTAAATTCCTTAAGGACACACTGTGAATTCAGTGGACTCAGATTTAATTTTGTTCTTCCTATGCATTTATGTTTCTCTTTTACTTTACATGAATTTATGATTTTGAACACAGATTACCAACAATCTTAAACAAATTCAACTTGCAATGGATTTTGGTCATGTTCATGGTTGGTTCACCTCATTATAGACAAACATATTAATATATTCGTTCATGAACGGTCATGTCCATACAAAAACGTACAGATGTATCTTTCTATGAAAAGTCACAACCTTCGAAGTGACATCATTTCATAAAAGAACTAAACAATATAAATTTTCAAGCAAGAAAATAATCTTTCGAGAAAGGTACGTGACCAACTTCCGAATTAGTAGTTTCATCAACTAGTCTTTACTAAGACTTAACAACTAATGAATTCACCGACTACCATATCAATATCCCTAAGGATTCGTGGGGTTCGAAGAATCATATCATCTAGTTCTTCTAGATAATATATACATCACGTCTAACATTAGCTTTTGTTATGCATAAGCTAGATGCCCCCACATTTCACATGTTTCATGTGCCTTTTCTATCAACATATAATCCATATATAAATAAATAATGACTACATAATTTAGAGTATTCTTAATGTAAATACACTAGTTTGAAACCATTTGACAATATTCTCTAGTCAAATTTCGCATGCCATTGGTTGGATGTTTATTTTAGTCCGTAAAGTAACTTAACTAGTCGACACACCTTCTTTCTTTTCCAGGAACTACGAACCCTTCAGGTTGTTTCATATAAATTTCTTCCCCCAAATCTTCATTTAAGAAGGTTGTCTTTACATCCATCTAATGGATTTCAAGGCCATACACGGTGCTAACGCTATTACCATCCGATTAGATGTAATTCTCGTTCCGGTGAGTATGTGTCAAAGTAATCAAGACCTTCTCGTTGTCTTAATCTTTTGGCAATCAGTTTTGCCTTATATTTGTCAATAATACCATCAGCTTTCATTTTTCTTCTGAAAATCCACTTAGAACCAAAACGTTTATTTTCCGGAGGAAGATAAACTAATTCCCAAGTATGATTACTTAATATGGGTTATATCTCACTATTGACTACCTTTTTCTAACATTGTGCTTTCGAGCAAGACATTGCTTATTTAAATGTTTGATGCTCATTTTCCAACAAGAATTCCAGAAAATCTCGTCCAAAGGAAGTATATGTCCTTTGACGTTTACTACGTCTTGGATTCACCTCCTTAGGGGTATTTTCCTTTGCTTCTTCCCGAGTTCGCTTAGATTTTTTACTAGACGACTCACATTCCATTTTATACGGATAAATACTCAAAGAATTCAGCATTATCTGATTTACCGTATTAATACGAATGTTAGAATTTTCTAATTTTTGAACCAGAAAGCGATATGCCTTACTATTTGTTGTTTATCCTATGAAAACACAATCAACAGTTTTTGGTCCAATCTTTACCCTTTTGGGTTTAGGAACTTGTACTTTAGCCAAACACCCCCACACTTAAAATATTTTAAGTTGGGTTTCCTTCCTTTCTATTTTTCATATGGAATGGAATGCGTTTTGCTATGGGGAACTCGATTGAGTATTCGGTTAGCTGTAAGAATAGCTTCCCCCCACAAGTTCTGGGTAAATCAAAACTTATCAACAAGGCATTCATCATCTACTTTAACGTTCTATTTTCTTTCTGCAATTCCATTAGATTGCGGTGACTAAGGGGTTGTCGTTTGATGAGTAATACCATATTCCAAACATATTTCTTCAAAAAGGAGATTCACATTCACTACCCCTATTACTTTGTAGAGCCAACCACAAAAACTGTTGTTTTTGTCATGACAGAGCCAGAATTAATAAATGGTGAAGTTTTTAATCTTCAAACCAATCTGACACATTCAGAAATAATAAACGGTGAAGTTTTTAATCTTCAAACCGAGTAATTTGTGATACAACCAAATTTAATAAACGATGAAGTTTTTAATCTTCAAATCGAATAATAAATTGGAGTAGAAAATCACTAAGATTTAAATCTCCAAAATGAGTCTAAAATCACTTAGACTTTAATTTCCAACCAGAATAGAAAGTCACGAAGACTTTAATCTCCAAAAAATAAATAGAACGTCACGATGATTTTAATCTCAAAGATTGAGTAGAAAATCACGCAGATTTTAATTTCCAAAACCAGGGTATAAAATTACATGAATTTACTTTTCTTTTCGAATGGCTTTCTAACTAAACCATTGTAATCCCTGCACATTTTAAGAGTTTGATATATTTATCTTATCAAACTAACATATGTATATCACATAAACAACTACTAAATTAAAAGCAGTTGATATAATTTTTCGCAGAAAAATTTAGGCTGCCGCTAATATATACTCACATATGTAAACCAAGGTGAGAATAAAGCTTGCAAAGAAAACGGTATATGATACGACTCTAAAGTTACTCAATACTTTAGAACTTCTCCGTTAAAGAAGAAACATGATCAACTAGTTTTAATGCAGATCATATCTCATAAGTATATATAAAATTATTCATGCACTTGGTGGCATGCCAAATAATCTCTGCCTTTCGAATATTGACACGAATAATCTCAACACATGAGATACAAGTTAATCAAATATGGATTAGAGACTCATAGTGAAGCTAGGCGGCATTAGAGTTGGACCTTTAAAGAGTTTCAAACCAATTCTAATTCAAATTCTTTCCATGAAATGGTACCAAATTGTTTGGGACATAACTGAATGTTCCACGATATACATATATAAAATATCCTCTTTATGATCTCAAAGCAATTTTCAAGTATAAATGTAAGTCTAATTCATGTCTTACTTCCTTAAAAATACCATGCATGCTACCAAATTGTATATCAACTGCTAATAGTATTTGGTCAAAGGAATAACAAAATTAATTATAAACACATGTTATTCCTAATCATGCAAATAATCTAGATTTGTAATATGAGATCATCACATAATAACATCTATCCTTATATTTATAGAAACTAAATTCATAAATCACAAAGGATAGAAAATTAATAATCAAACATTATAATTTGAGTAAGAAAAAATAGAACCCGTTTTATTATCGCAAAAAAAGTTCCAATCTCTCCCATCAATGCATGATAGCAAAAACTTTTCCAAATTGCGATGCCTCCGTTGATTGTTAGAACCTTACCGGTGCACTGTAAGAATATTTTAGAATCAAAAGTTCATCCAATATTCTCTCTATCGTGCTTTAAAAAGATCCCAATGTCTTGTCATATGCACATTGTCTTCACTTCCTTAAAACAAATATGACAGCAAGTGGGTGTATCTCCGTAAGTTTTCTCAGAGATCTTAGACTTTGGTTTTTGTCTTTTGCTTTCAAGAGTTTGTCCTTTTTAATTATGTGATCATCCAATAAATCGGAGAAAACTCGAGCAATAATATTCATTAGCAACTTTTCATAATTGGCAGTATAAATAACTCCAACTTGAAGCACTGATTCGGCTTCTACTTCGTAGTAATTATTCTTCCCTATATTTCTTCTTGTCGGAGAGGATTTCAAAATATCCTTTGGAACTCTCAAACAGCAAACGGCACCATTCTGTGCAATATAAAGACTTGACAAATGTAATCATCAAGAGTAACTTTTTATGCCGATCTGTAAAATACCCACTTTACTGCCTTTCCCTCGGTAGACCATATGACGTACGATAGTTAAATTCCTTAAGATTGTTGGTAATCTGTATTCAAAATCAGAAAATCATGTAAAGTAAAAGAGAAATAGGAATGCATAAGAACAAAATTAAATTCGAGCCCACTGAATTCACAGTGTGTCCTTAAGGAATTTAATCCTCGCATTGTTGCCCAAGGTATACGGATTAATTCCACCCAGGATAGAACGGAATAACTATTCTGTGATAGCGGCACTTCAAATCACAGAACTTCAGTGAACTCAACAAACGGAGCAAACCACACTTGACACTTATGTTTATTTAAAAAATAATGCAATAATGTAGAAAAGAGGGGAGACGATTTCAGATTTTCCATCTCTTAAAAATGAGGCCAAACCTCTAAATTTATAGACAAAGGAAAGGTGATATGGAGAGGTGCAATCCAAAAGGTGCCTCTTCCATTTCCCATTCACACCCTTTAAAGAAAAAATGCAACAGGAACAACTGTAAGCTTTGAGATCTTTATATTCATTCTTCACGATACTAAGCTGAAGAAAGCATCTTTTGCAAGGGCTTCTACCAAGCAGCTAAAGCAGTTTACCTGTACAAAGAGCCTGTCACCTGAAGGTCAACTCGTATGGCTACGCTTAAAGCATAAAAAGGCTGATGATCTATCCTTACGCCAGCATAATTGCCGGCTTCTGGCCCTGAGCTACCATATGGAGCGGCCTTGAAAAGAACTTGAACAAGGTTGAACCAGCATACACATTTTGTTGTAGCGCCATCACATTGCAAAATTTCTGTCAATCATATTTGCTCATTACTGAATGGCAAAGTGGGCTATCAAAGTGGATAGACTTGATTGCGTCGACAATCACCTCCATTCCTATTTGACGACTTCCTTTGACAAGGATGAAATCACCACTATTTAAATAATTGGTAATGTTAGAAGCCATCTGGCGAGCATCAGTGGTGCATACCACTTTTATCTCCCGAGCACAGTCAATACTCTCAGCTGCACGTATAAACCTTGTTCCAACAAGTGCAATTACATCAAAGTGCGCATCGCAGCAACTCTGTAGCATCAACTCATGGAAGTTGATTTCCGTTGGACCAAGCTCAAGCATGTCTCCAAGTATAGCAACTCGTTTACCTTTGCAATCGATGTTTCTTAACAAGTCAATGGCAGCTTGAGTACTAGCTGGACTTGCATTGTAAACATCATTTATTATTGTAATCCCATTTTCAGCTACTTCGAGCTCTGATCTCCTGTGAACAGGTCTAAATCTGGACAAGGATTTTGAAGCTAGAGCAAGAGGAACACCAAGAGCACTAGCCACAGCAGCAGCTGCACATGCATTTATGGCCAGATGCAGGCCAGGACTGGAGATAACGAATTTAACCCTGAATATTTACCGCCGTGTCAAATAAATAGAACTGTAAATACTAAATAACAATGATACTTTTACAAGAATATAAAGGTAGTTAGTTGCAGTAGAAGGAACATACGAATGAAACTTCATATAACCAAAAATAATGCAGAGAAATTTTAGAAATATACATAGTTTTGTACTTCAATGATGGCCTTGTCTTTTGAAGGGTTTCTCATCATTTATTCACAGAATATCAACTTAAAGTTCATAGCTTTTTCCTGAATAAATTACTATCTTCTCTTTGAATTACCAAAATGTAACATACACTTAAAAACACTATAC